GCTGAGTGAGCTGCGTGTCCTGAAGACAGGCTGCTCACAGAAAGGCGACTGCCCCAGAGTCCTGACTGGCTTCATGGGGAGCAGTTCCAGAGCATCGCCCCGGGACTCCGTGACACTCCACCAGGAAGAACTTGTCTCTCACCTGAGCTACCTTCTCTAGCTGCCTCATACCTCATCTCCTCAAGCTGCTGCTGCTAACGTAATGGTTTTGGGATTGTTGGTTTTTTTTTTGCTGCTTAGGTCACCCTATGAATCCCCCCGCAAAGCCTTCCCTTCTTTCACCTTCCTAATTGATTTCAAGCTCCCAGGACTTCATCATTAAGACTCGGATAACAAACATTCATAAAGCCAGATTCCTCAGTGTTGCCATGTTTGGGCTGCAAATGGGCCTGGGGAATATACATTTGTTGAAAAATACACAGTGCAATTGTAGCCCTTGTGAGAACCAACCAGAACTCTCATTGGCCTGGGAGAGCAAGGACTAACGACACTAAATCCTGCATTAGTGAGCTGTCGCTAAACTACAGTTCTGTCTCCCTTCTTTCCCCCCCTTTCACAGAAGCTCTTTCCCCTTCCCTTTCTCTTTTGGCTCCCTTCAATTCCTTGCTCTGTCTCATCTGCCAGTGTTTTCCCTTCTCTCACTCCCTTAGATCATGTTTCTGCGTCGTTGGACTAAAATCAGATCAGTGTCACTCTGTTGCTTGTTGCAGGAACAGTGATAGGGACGTCCCAGAGAGAGGTGGTAGCTGTGGGAAGACAACTGCTTGCACTCTTGTAGGAGTTTTAAACCTGATTCGACCTAAAAATAATTGAAGCACACTTTGTTCCCATTCATTTAACTAGCAGTTAAGTCCACTCAGAGGGTCTATTTTTAGTTACTCTGGGTTAGGTTTCTATTGATAAAGAATGGATTTCATTAAATGGATCATTTACAAGTTAACTACTATACAGCTTTGCTCAGGCCGGAAAACAACGCCCCCGTTTTGCTGCTACCGAAGTTTCCTGGCTGTCCTTGCAAAATTCACGAACTAGCGCAAACGGGTATAATCCCCTTGATTTCAGTGGAGTTGCACTTGCTTATGTCAACTCTCAGTTGGACTCCAGTAACCAAGGCTATTCGCTTGCACCCAATTTGGCTTTTAGAGTCACAGATTTCAAAGCCTTTTTTCCATTCAAATAAGCACAACAGCATTTGCTCTCTCAAAGGCGATTTGTGTAATGATTACAAGATAATGCCAGTTGAAAACAACATTGTTCTTGGAGAATGGTCTCCGGCCATTGAAGAAATGTGCAGGAGAAGCCGAGCCATCCCTTATTAAAGCAGAAGGCCCGTGAAAATTCTCCATTTCAAATAATTATTTCTGGAATATCCCAAAAAAAACTACAGTGCCGAGAAACATTTTCAGAATTGCTTAAGTGTCGTTGACTTTGTGTTGCTCTGTTCTCTACTAAGTAGCTGTACTGGTTCATTGCTCTAGCCAGGGAACAAGGATGTTTTAACAGTGTGCTGTACCAATTTATTTTGTATGGTATCTTACATTACCCACTGGACCCCAAAGTACTCACACAGAGTCCAAAATAAAACAGAGAGCAGTCTATTAATTCTGTTCTAACATGCACATGAGCTTTAACCTATGCCCTCCGATGGCCCAGCTAGCTCAGATTTTAAGCACCACCATGCTCAAGTGAAAGACTGTGTGGGCAGGAGTTGGTTTAGAGTAAGAGTAAGAACTTTGCAGTAAAGACATTACAATTTATTTGTATTCAAACACAGGTTAACTGGCTGCAAAAAACAAACTAATAAACTGCAGTCTCAGTTGTTACCCAGGGCAAACAGGGCCTTTGTTTCTCTTTCCATGGAGCCTCACCCACTAACTTTAAAACTAGTTTTACTGGAGCCTGCCTATTTACTAGAAACATGGAGATTTTTCCACATGTGCTGAAGATACAAGACTCTTCTGGACTGGAGCATTCCAGTAAACACTGGTTTTCTTAAAGGGCCATAGGTGACGTTCCTTAGCTGCACCCAGTTACATTATGAAGCTGTTTCTTCTCTACTAAATAGAGAACATTTATAGGAAAGCCAAGTGATACTAAAATTTCCAAACAGGTTGCAGATTTTTAAATCCATCAATCATCACGTGGCACAATGTCTTGTGTGCCCGTGCCCTGATTTTCTCAAAGCGATAGGCACTCTCTTGCAGAGTAAATGGTGAGGCTGGCTGGAAGAGAATAAGAACTCTCTCTGAACAAAACCACACTTTCACAAGTGGAGCGAAGCCACATCCCAGCTGAAAAAGAACAAGAGGCAACTGTTGTCTCCATGGTACAGGTTCCACTCCCCCTTAGGAGGGGGGAAACTCTTACAGATGGGAAGAGGGAGAAGCTAGGGTCAGCAACTATCAGCAAGATTCTCCCCACTCCAAAAAGCATGGGGGGAGAAGCCATGTCTGATTCTCCCCTGCCTGCATCATATCATGTATCATTTATACCTGTGCAAACTGGGTGCAACACACTAACATTTTGATAGAATAATACCTTACACTCATTTTGCACAGGGAGAATAGACACAGAAGGTACAAGGAAGTGGAGAATCAAGTGCAGGTTCTTTTGGCTACTTGCACAGGTTCACCATACACACCATAACACACCCAGGCTCTGCAGGCAGCTGTAATCAGGAGAACAGCACAACTCCTGCAGAAAGTTCATGATGCTTCCTAACGAAGGTGGATCATTTTGGTTTGACTTGAATCCATAGAGAAGTGAAAAGAATGTGTACAAACTCACCGGACATGTATTTTTAAGTACAAACTCGGAAAAATAAATATTTTGACAACGTTCATGTGTTTGAACTCAGTTGAACTTTACTTTTCCCGAGTTATTCCCCAAGCCTCTACCAAGGAGGCTCAAGGTCACAAAACAGAACTCTGCTGAAATGAATACCAACAAGAGATGCCATTAAGGAAAAACACAAGGAAATTCCACAGCAAAAAACTACAATAAGAGAGATGCATGAAGCCAAAGTCATGTGGAAGATGTTTAAAGGGAAGAACCGCATGAATATTTGAATTGTTTGATGTGATATTATGTCACCAAAGAAAGGAGTTCCACAAAGCCAGGGTGCAGTATGGGGGTTGTTAATACTTTTCTTCAAACCTACTCAGGAGACAACCTCAAAGAGACAAGTGTGATGGATACTCTCTCTCTCTCTCTCTCTCTCTCTCCAAGACAGTAGCTTAACAATGGACAACGCTACCATTCGGCTCAAAGAAGTTCTCCCATGGCACAGAGCCAACTCCACCTTTACAAATCACAAACCAATATGGAAACCAAAAGCTAATTAGTCTCAATCATTAAACCGCTCTCAATCATTAATCAGCTCCGCCCAGAAACAATACATACCTATAGCATCCCGTTTTAACCAAACCAAGTCCTTGTAAAATGCAGAGATGCGCGAGGAAAACTTGAGTGCTATGAAATCTTTCCCACTTTTCAACTCAGGAAACATAGGGTAGAACAGCCATGAACAGATCACGATCGCTAGTGGGTGAACATATTTCTCAGATCACAATGCTCCCTAGCAAGGAATATGTTTAAGACATTTGCTTCATTTCCCTGGCATTTAACAGTGAGCAAATTGCTTTGTAAATAAAACTAACAGAGCAGCTACTTCTAAAAGAGAGAATGAAAAACTCTGCTAGGACAAGAGGGAGATGAAGTAGATGACCCAAATTGCTTTTTGACATCTCTAATTTCTATGGGAATTCAATTTTTAAATAGAGCGGTCCACCTGTTCCTGCTGTCAGGAGACAATACAACAAGGTTTCAAAGAAGGGCCAGGCAAGAGAGATGCTTGGCAGGGAAGCTAAAAGCTCTGATTTAGAAAGCACATATCTACAGACGTTAGATGACTACAAGATACTTGAAGCTTGTCTAGATTAGGGAAATTGCTCCAAGCATATTTCAATGATGCAATTACTGGAGTAAGTTGATCCAGTGCAGTGTGTCTGCATTAAGGGTTTCCATCCGTGCAAGGTGTAGGATTCCTTACTTTGACTTTTATTTGGGAGCAATGTGCTTGGTCTCAAAATTTGGCCTACTGCAAAAATTCTCCTTTAAATCATTGTGAATGCTGAAAAAACTCAGTTCAGGACTGTGGACCTTCTTACCCATAAAGTACTGCAGTCTAGTTATACCCCAAATTAAAAATTAAGATGGCAAGTGATGCATGAAATGATCCATGTATTACTACAGACTTCTGACTTATTTGTCTATTCCATGGCGGTGTCTAGTGATTCTGGGCACCTCCATTTTTGGGTGCTCATCTGGAGATATATCTTAAAGGGGCCTGAGATTCAGAGGGCAGGAGCTGTCAGAGACCGGGATGTGGGTTTTCATGCCCAGTGGCTGGAGCACGAGTTGGTAGTTCGAAATCAGAGCCAAGGGTCAGAACAGGAGTCAGAGGCCAGATCCCAGGGTCAGAAGCCAGGAACCGGAGCAGAGGGTCAGGACTGGGTTACCTGGAGTGAGGAAGGGCTGGGAGCAATGTAGGAGCAAGGATGGGAACAAGTAGGCCCAGGAAGTATCACAGCCATGGGCGAATGGTTTGAACAGCTGTTGAACTGCTGCTGGGCTTAAGACTCTTCCAATCAACCAGGTGGTATAGCCAGACAACCTACTGCAGGCTTTGTGCTTTTTAGGTTGCCCGAAGACTGGCTCTGGTGCAAACCTTGATTCCTGATAGGAGCTCAGCACTTTCTCAAAACAAGGCCCCTTTTAAAGGTGACTTCAGTTGGGAACCCAAAAAAACCCAAAAGCATCCAGAGAATCGCTAGTCACTTCTGAAGGTTGAGGCCAAACATTTTAGGCTAGAATTTTCAAAGTGACCTGAGAGATTCAAGTCAATGGGAGCTGGTCAAGCACCTCAAATCCCCAGCCTTAAAACTACTGCAAAACTAAAGTACATTAAGCACAGAATCACTGTGCACTTGTTTACTCACATTCTTTCATCATGCCTATGTCCACACAACGCTTCAGCCGGCAGGCTTGGCAATGCCGTCGGTTATCTTTGGTGATTTTGCAGTCGCTGTTGAATGGACATGTAAACATTGCTTTTCTTTTCATGCTCCTCCTGAAAATAAAACACAAATAAATATTATGATGCCTGGACTTGTTTACTGCTAAGGAAACATTGAAGCTGTGTGTGGAGACCGTTTCAAAACATCGTGTGGGACATCTGCAGTCAAACCCATTGGGCTGTGGGGTGAGGATTGCAAGTGTGTGCCAGAACACTCCTGTAGCCACTGTTCAGTTTCTGCAAGTTGTACATTTTAAAATACTTTTTTTTAAATGTTTGAAAGACAGCCACAACTTGTATGTCTCTATGGTTTTTAAAAGGTTTAAAAATTTCTAAGCTGCCCAAAAAAACCCAAACACACAGAGCTTCTTGTCAACAAATACAACATGTACTATAAACAGGAAAATATTAGCCACAGTTTAAATTTCACAGTTTTGGATACTGTGAAACTGGAAAAAAGAGTGGAAGAATTTACAGAGAAATACAGACTTGAACCACAAACAGCAGAAGCAACGGAAACTAAACCAAACCAGAGTATAAGTCAGCTTGTACCTAGCAAGGGCCTTTCAGAAGCAGTATATGTTATTAAACATTTACCAGGCTTGGAAGCCTCCTGGTTGGAGTGAGAGAGAGAAATCCCACTGTATAATATGGGAGAAATATTTCACACTCTTGTGCCCACACGCATGTGAACGCACTATTGCACGTGTGTGTGTGTGTGTGTGTGTGTGTGTGATTAAGATTTTTAATGTTCTTAAATCAGTACATTCAGAGTTCTAGGTCCCATCAAAAGTATAACTTGTCTTCCTTGACTAGTCAGTATTATAGGATTTCTTTGGGGCAGGGACTAACTTTTTGTTCTGTGTTTGTACAGCACCTCGCACAGTATGGCCCCAGTCCATGCCTAGGGCTCCAAGGCACTAGCACTATATATATATATAGTGTATAGCATGCTCTTTAATGACTAGTTAGTGGTGATTCTATATTAAGCTCGGTTTCCATATTGCATGGAAAACAGGGACCCATCATCTTTGTTTTGGATGAAGAATGCAATGTAATTTATAGCACATCTGTGAGCACAGATTGAATTGTCTGGGGAAGTTATGTAGTTTGAGATAGACATGAATACAAAAATACATCCTTTAGAAAGGAGGAGAAGTGTGGCAGAGCAGCAGAGATTGGAGCAAGAATATCTCCAAGCAGAGATCTAAATAGCGAAGATACTGGGAAGGATGGCAGCCTGGGCCCAGACATCTACACTGCAATTTTATAGCCCTGCAGCCAAGTCTGAGCCAGCTGTCACGGGCCAGTTGCAGGTGTTTTACTGCAATTTAGATCTACCCAATCCCATCCAGTTAGAGAAAGATCTCAGGTTACCCATTGGGCCTGCCAGTTAAAAGGTACTGAGAGGCAGCATGGTATGATGGTTAGGGGACTGGGAATCTGGAGACCTGGATGCTGTTCCTGGCTCTGCCACTGACCCTGGTGGGTAACCTTGAGCATATCACTTTTCCTACTCTGTCCTTGTTTCCCTTCCCACCCTTTGTCTTGTCTATTTAGATTGTAAGCCCTTCAAGATGGGCTCTTACTGTATTTATGTGCAATGCCTAGCACAATGGGGTCCCACACTTAGTTGGATCCCCAAGGCAGTACAGTAAAACAAATACACAGTAGCCCAAATTTTGCTTTCTTCTTAAGTTCTGAATGAATCTCCTCTCCTTCCCCCTTGATTTTTCATTGCCACGCCTCCACATGAATTCATGCAATGGTTCAGCAAGATATATCAGAACACAGAAGCAGATAAGAGGCTTTAAGGTGAGAACCTCTCCAAGCAAATATTTGCTTGGCACAAAGCCTTAAATTTTGTTTCCAGCTTGATCTTGCAGCCCTTATCCACTTGTGTCAATGGGGCTACAGAAAAGGAAAGGCTGAAAGATAGGGCCCTCTAAAAGCTAATTATAAAGACATTACATTCAACATATTTACAGTTCATTTAACCAAAAAGGGGAAACAATGTTATCTGATATGCTATAAACCAAAGTTTGCTGCCTGAATAAGATTAGATGGGCCAAAATCTCCAATAAACTCTCCCTTCTGGAATTGCTATTACTGTACTTCCTAAATACAGCTGGGGCAGCATGGTCCAGGAACTAGGGTACTGGCCTAGTAGATAGAATATCTGGGTTCTATTCCCAGGTCTGCTGCATGACTTTGGACAAATCACTTTGCCTCAGTGCCAACCCAACTCTCTTTATGTTATCACAGATCTTGTGATATTTGATGAGTCATTAGGAGGCAAGTGATGTGAGAACCCTTGGCGTTCATTAAAAAAAAGTTTCTAACCCTTGTGTGTATGGAAAGAAATTTTGAAAATTTGACCCAAGTGCACCCTACAGGTTCAAAAAACCCCAAACCAAACAAAACACAGAAGGCAAATAAAGAGGACGCAACGTTTAAAAAAAACAAAACAAAAAAAAACAACAATAAATCTTATGGTTTTTAAGCCAATGCTATTCTGATGGACCCAACTCATGGTTTTTGAAGAGTTACGTTGGCAAAGCTGCTCCCTCTCTCCCTCATGCTTCTGTTTTCCCTTGCACACGGTCTCATTTATTGTAAGTTTTTTAGGGGGCAGGGACTTCATCTGCACAGAGCTCAGCACAGTGGGGTACTTATCTTGATTGGGGCCTCTAGGCACTACCGTAATACAAATCAATAATATACAGTACTTGGATTTTGGCTAGTGTGAAAACTATTGCAATTCATTGTATACCTCCATGCAGAGCAGCAGTGGAAAATGACATGGTTTAAGAGCCCTTTTAAAAGCAAGCCTTATTGCTCAGAGCACATTAGGGTCTTGCGTCTTTATTACAAAAGAAACTAAATTACAGAGTCAGTGCAGTGGGGGCAGATGTCCTACCCACAGAAGCACAACAAGAGCACAGGCTGTCAGGCTCTGTCCAGCCGCAGTGTATTTTTATTAAAAAAAAAACACAAACACAAAAAAAAACCTTACAGAACCAGCCATTTCAAGGCTCCCTTAAAACTATGTCCCAGGCATACTGCCGAAAATTAAAAATAATGAAATCCCTCTCTGCACTAATCCTATATGGCAAGCATAAACAGGCTCTGTATTCAACCAAAAGCAAAAGTACATGCCAGTGCATGCTGCACAGAGGTTTTTGGGGCCCGGGAAAAAATCTGAAACTGAGGCCCTCCACCCTTCCACCAAAATAAAATAAAATAAATATATATATATTTTTTAAATAGATCACTCAGGGGAGCTGGGGAAGTGCTGGAGAATGAGACTGCCCTGCAGCGGTGGCTCCTGTCCCATGAGGCTGGGGCCAGCTCCCCACTCTGGCAGTTACAACGTGACACCTGGGATTGCTGCATCACTCACGTCTGGCTTAGCTGTTCTTCCACCGTGACAGAGAGGCCACCAGGCCAAATCTGAGTGGTGCTGCAATCCTGTACACCAGGTTGCAAATATCACTCCGTTTAGGGGCTCTGGGCAAATTGTCCCCCCCTTCCCAGGCAGCTCTGGGGCATGTTTCCAATGTAGAAATGATTGTCTCAGTAAAGCCGAGAATTCACCTGCTTGACTATCAGTGAGAAATGGAAGATATTGCTTTTCATGGTCTGTGTAATCAACTAACTGCTGGATGCCTGAATTAAGAGCTCACACACCATGCAGAAATTCTGGACAGATCCATGTAACTTCAGGAAGAAGTAGTTAAGTTTGCATGCAACTGAACATGAAAATGAATCTGTGGGGCAGTTTTCAATATTCTTTATTGGAAACCCACCTGCGAGTGCCCAACGCACTGAAAATTAGGCCCACAATTTAAGAAAGTTTGAAAAGACTGTTTTGTTTGAAACCCGGGCTAGAATGCTGGATTCTAGTGGATACTCCAATTGGCACTTAAGTGGGTGGGTGCTTAGGCCATAAACTCTTTAGGGCAGGAACTATCTTTCTGTGGTGCATTTAGAGTGCCTACGACAGTGGGGTCCTGTTCCATGACTAAGACTCCTTTAAGGTGCTTCCACAATACAAGAAAGTAATATTTATTCCTGAGGGAATTCTGCGCCACTGCGCATGTGCAGAATTCACGTTACCTGCAGATTTCTTTGCTTCCTTGCAGAAAAATGATTTTCTGATGGGGAAACAAAGGGAAGCCACAAGAATGGTCTCGCGGCTGTCCCCAGCAGTGCAGGTGTGTCATTTCAGGCACCTGGTGCAAACGGGGGAGAGGTAAATCACTGCGAGGAGGGTCTGGGGACATCAGGCAGTGGTTCCTACTCTGTGCCAAGCTCAGCTGCTCGTCCTGGCTGGGCAAGAACAGGACTTCTTCCCCTGCAAGGAGTGGCTAATCCAGATCAGACCCACCCCCAGAAACCTCCTCCGGCTGCAGGAAACTCCACAATGCCACCCCTGCACTTCCTGCCCCCATTGCTCCTCAGCCTTGGGGGGAGAGGTCAGTGTGCAGGAGCTGCTCCCCCAGTCACCCAACCCTCATGCATCCAGACCCCACCCCCCAAGCCTTACCTCCCCACACATTCAGAGCTCTCCCACCCCAAACCCACTGAGCTGCATCTCCTGCTCCTGGAGCCCCCTGCATCTGAACCCCACCTGAGCCCCCTGCACTCAAACCCCAACCACCTTCACCTAGACCCCCTTGCAGAGTCCCATTGCCCCTGCACACAGAACCCCACCCCACCCTCCAATGAGCCCCTGGGCATAGAGATCCCCCCCCCCCCGCACCCAGACCCCCCACTGAGCTGCCTGCACCCAGATTGCCCCACACAGAACCCTCTCACCCCATACCTGGATCCCCCCATACTAAGCCCCTCCACCCTTGGATCTGCCAGCCTGAGCCAGTTTGCCTGCCCACACCTGGTGCAGAGGGGTAGGGCCCTGGGGTGTTTCTGGGGCAGGCCCAGCCCTTGCACTGTGTCAGGGTTGGGTGCTGCCTCATTGTGGAGCCCATGTCCCGGGAGTTGGGGGAGGGCACTGCAGGTGGTCTCCCACCTTCATGCAGCCAGTGGCCTGG